ATCTCGACAGCCTGTGATGAAGCGCTGCGGTCAGAGAGGGAGTGATTACAATTTATCCTTTTCAGAACAGGGACGCTCCAGATCCAACTGAAAGCTCAGCAGTGTTTTTAAGACAAGAAAGTACTAGCATTAGAATCACTAAAAATCTAGAACTAAAAATCTACTTTTTTCTTTGTTATCAGGATTGGGAAATATATATATGAATCTGTTGGATAATATGGCACAGAACAAAATAAGGATGCAAAATAAAATAAAGGCTGCTCTCTGCCCAGCTACATACATGAAAGCAATCGACCTCATCCAGACAGAGCTCTGGATGAACCAAAAGCTGTCTACTTTTTCCAGCATTTTTTTTCCCAAAAATTTACGGTCTCGTAAAACCAAATCAAAAGTGCTACATAGAGAAAAATTTAGCAGTAGCGTGTAATGTTAGGTTTCACCTATGCTTTTATTGTAGATTGCCGACAGCCAGATCTTGACAGGAAATGCTATGCAGTTTCCTGGGATAATGGCAGATTCAACTAAAAGAATCTGGGATGCTGATGAACTACTAGATATTGTAAAACACTCATTTCACCCTCTGAACAAGGTAAACATGCCCACTGTCATATTCAATGCCACCACAGGAATGGCAATAACTTTATATTCGGAAACAAGCATAGCACTGATGTCTGGTCAGATGGTGACATAATCCGCTTAGATTAAAAATATCTTAAAAACCAAAGCAACACAAACAACAGTTTTAAATGCACACATCTGCATAGAAGTAGCACAAAAAAGTAGACCATTTTGGTGCAATTGCAGCTTAGTGAGGGGATGATTAACCCTGGATGAACTAAAAATATTAACAGAAATTATCTTTTTCTTTAACACAAATGATAATTTAAAGTGCAGTAAAGGTGCAATAATCATTGTCTATTTGCTAAGATTTTTCATGCATGTGGGGTGTTAACTTTAAGTAGCTAAAGCTCTGCCTATCTGACGTAAACACTAGGCATCTGAAATGCACACCGGTGAACTCGCCACAGATTAACTGTTTTTTTTTTTTTTTTAAAGCTTGCTCTAATAAAAAAATAAGCATAAATAAAAATAAAATAAAAATCTTGCTCTCTGCTGTTGGGGCTGTAGCGTGTTGTGCTGTACGAATAAGGGGGTAAACGTATTAAAACGTATGTAAACCATGGATATTAAAGAATGTTCAAACATTTTTTTTTTAGAATAATTATCATACTCATTACTAATTGTGGTTTCAGTTGCAAAGCAGTGTAAGGAATAGTGTACTAATAATGACTAAATGCTTTTGCAGAATATATGATTTATTATTAAGATGTAATCTACCAGTAAATGTTTTTTTTTCCTGGGCGCTCTTTACAGCGGTAGCTCCTCTTCTAATAAACAGTTCAGTAGCCCACCCCTGACCTCTTTTATTTCCCACTTATCTCCTGCTTTTTGTACAACAGCTGCAAGCACCTATCCTGATCTCCATCCAGATTCTTGGATTAGCGGCCCGCTATGAATACCAGCGAGAAAAACCATCACAAAGCATTTGCCTTTCTCCATCACTCGGTCAGTTGGTTACAGAGTGATGAGGATTTAGTGATGCGCAGACGTCTCCCTCTGACCCTCCTGACATGTGTGTGCTTTAAGTTCCGAAAGCCTCCATGGCACTTCTGTACAAAACACACACACAACGGCACAATAACACAAGCCTGAGCCTCTTGAGACACTTCCATATTGTCTAAATCCTTCAGCTTCCATGCGGATTTTAAATACTGAAAGGCATGTATTGTTGCTGTCATTCAATAGGTTGGAAAATAGAACATTTATTTAGGGAGAATTATCTAAACAGTAACCAGCTTCCAGACAGAAACAGCTATTCATTAACCCCGTCTCTATCAAAGGTTGCCGCCAGAAAGAAAAGAAGTCATTAATGTTTAGCATGCCACACAGGGAAGTGCTGTGAATGCAAAAAGGAAGCTAAAACAAAGTGCAAATTGTGTTTGCTGAAGTCAATGTCAACTTGTGTGACAGCCAGACTGCTACGGGGTATCTGCCAGCATTTTTCAACAACTGAGCACATCAACAGGAGCCGAAGGAAGGGGGGGGGGGGGGGGGGGGGGGGGGGGGGGGGGAAGGGGGCTTCTGTTGAATCTGTCGGTCCGTGTATGTGTGTGTGTCAGTTTGTGTGAGTAAGATAAATGAGAACCGCCAGAGTGTGAAAATGGGGGTTTATTTGGCAGGTGAGCAGCAGGATGGATTTGTTGAGTGTGTGTCTCATCTGCATAGGATACAGTACAGAGAGGCGTGTTTGGTCATGCAAGCATGCATGACAGCTTTAAATTCGGGTGGAGGAAAAGAGGTCGCCCATGTCATTGTGGATGAAGTGGGATGTTACTAAAACTCAGTTTATGTGCAGCTGTTTTACTATCAATGAGTCTTGCATCCCCATTGGAAAAAAGGTAGCTTAAAATGAGAGCGTATGGACCTGGAGTATCACTTATTATCCATTTTAATACATCTCTGAAAGTAACAGAGCTTAATGAAGAAGTTTTGCTAAAAAAAAAAAAAAAAAAAGAGAAACCCTCTCTTATTTACCTAAGGATAGAAAAATTAGATCAATATAAACATATATCTATAAACATATGCAACTACATATAGACACATAAACATTATATACATATATATGTATATATATACATGCATGCATACCTATACATATATAACATATAAAGTATCATATATATATTATTTATTTCAGTTATTCAATTGAAATATGATGTTTATATACAACATAGATTCATTATATACAGTTTAGATGATCATGACACCCAATCAGAAACTAAAACTAACTAAACTAAAAATGTCAGAAAACTAACAGGACAAATAAAAGTCAATAATCTGGTTACCAAAAAGATAAGAGAACTGTGTGGAAGAAAAAGCTGTGATTAAAAATTAAATAAAAAAAAAACATATCCTTGAGGCAACTCTCAAGTAATAACCATTCAAGACTTTGACAGGATATGAGAATTTTTTTGTTTTTGATTTTTTTTTTATATATGAGCGACATGCAGAAATTTGTTTTTTTTTTTTTTACAGTACATGAAGGGCCCACTGACATAATTTTTAGATTACCCATAAATAGATTAATTTATTCCTTTGGGGAAAATTTGTTATGTTAGGGTTAGGATTTGGATAAATTCGGTGATACCCACCTATGGTTGGGAGTAGTAACAACCATTTATTAAATGATAACATCTGAAGCAGCTGCAAAAAGACACTTAGTATTTATCTGTACTAATGGAAGACAGAATCAAACTACTGTAAGGAGGAACTCCATAAGATGATGTTCAGGTCCTACCTGTTAGAACAATGTTTTTAGACTTCATCTTTATCTGCTAGCAGGTGATTACACCTAAATAGATACAATGATCCACTATTATTCAAGCAGTAAACTAGTTTTCCCCATAATGTTATCAGCTATTACCTCTAAGGCAGGCCGTTTTGATATGTATTTGCTTGACTGAATATGTATTTCTGATATCATAAATACATATTCAGTCAAGCTGATAAATGTCAAAACAGCGACTTAAAATTTGTAATTTTTCTAGGTATATAAAACTTAAATCTCACTAGTAGGCTACAATTTTGTTTTTTGTTTAGTTTCTGAAATCCAGTTTCTGCAGCAAAAAAATTATTTAGAAAATCTGTTATAATAGTTCCTTCTAGGAATGTGATTTTGACTAGGAAGAATCCTATTTTAGTGATCTACAAATGTAACAAAAGAGAGGAAAGTGCTTTTAATAAATGTAAAAACGACCTGCCATAGACCAGTTCATATAAACCTATACACATTAACTCGTGCAGCAATATTCTCCTTCACAATCTTCCTCTCCTTTACAGCGGAAGCACTGTCTCCTAAACAAATTCTCCATTTTTTTTTATTTCTGCATTAAAATCTCTAGTTCCTATGGTGTGAAATAGTCACCTACTGTGCCTGTTGTCATGGAAACTCAAAGAATTGGGGGCTCCACTGATAATGCCTTTTCATACTTGTTACGCACCTGCTCAACTCTGAGTGGACCTACTCAAAGTTGATTAAACTAACTGTAAATCCAGAATTTCCAACCTTAGGATAGATCAATTCAGAGTTGATGATTTAAATCTGAGATGGTTTGATCAAGTTTGATGAAATTCCTTAAAAAATTGGAAACAATTCTTGTAATAATTATATTATATTTTTATTTCAATTAAACACTAGGCTGATTGAGCCATTGCCTCACAAAAATCACCCATAAGTCATTTGACCTTTATTTGTTCCAACCAATAAAAAAGCTAAATCTCTCATTTGCTAAAGATTTCATAGCTATTTTATTCAAATTTGTATCTGTTCAGAAATGTTCCTATTAATGGCATACACTATGTTAGAATCTGCACTTTTAAAGCAACACAACCTAATCTTTTAGACCATATTGCTGACATGTTTATTATATTATTATACATTCATGCACAGACAAATAACCACCGCCCTTCATTTAAAACGCGTGTTTGCTGTGCCCGTGTGTGAAAAGCTGTAAAAACATTATAAAGTTAAAAAGAATATTGGGGGAAGTTGATTTGCATAGTTAAACATGGTCATACCCTACTTATGAATCAATAAGAGATGCGACAGTTTCCTATATTTGTTCTGCAAAACGAGCCAAACCCATCAGAGACGGTCATAAATGACAGTTAAAGCAGAAAAATGGTTTATTATCACCAGCAGCAGATTAAATTAATTAAAAATCTCATAGTGGTGCTGTTTAAGGGTAATGCAGCAGTGATCCTGCTGGAAACAGACTTGAGAAGCTTGTGAAGATGGCAACAAGTTTCTCCTAATCTGCTTTCAGCGCGACCACCGATGCTGCCGCAGTCACCCCCTCCCTCCCTCCTTCACTGCCTGCCGCACAACTTTTCCAGCCATCTGCTCACACATATAACAAAAACAACTTTTACGCACTCACATGCAAAGGCTTGGAGAGGTGGAGCGCTCTCCTAGAGACCGAGGAGCGATGAGCGTTCCGCGGCTGACTCAGTCCAAAGTGTCTGGGTTTCCTTCACTCCGCTCCCCCCTGAAGGTGCTACGTCTGGAGGGGCTGAGAAACACAAGCGCTGTTTCTGTGTTTGCGGAGGCCGCAGCTGGAGATGCGACTCGTTGCGCAGTTTGAGCGCATTTCAGGAGGACGGTAGAGACGCGGGGCTCCTCAGTTCAGTGCAGCTCCTCCGCCAGCTGTAAAGGCTGTGGACAGGAACGCCGGGTGGGAGGAGGAGTGGCGAAAGATGCCTCGCAAAGCATCATGGGAAGTGTAGGCCGTTTTAGTCATCGCTTGGATTTCTCTTAATATTGCCTGACAGCAGTTAGTCAAACTGTTGATAATAAAATAGTTGAATCTTAAGCCGTGGTGGACAACATCTGCCTAATTTCCAACCATTCTAAGAGAATATCACAGACCCATCACATGATGCAGCCATCACCATGCTCAAGGGCAAAGGTTTGATCTCAACTTTGATAGGGATACTATAGGTCTTAAGTACAAATACTTTGTTACTGTACTTAAGTACACTTTTTAGGTATCTATGCTTTACCACATTAATTATTTTTCTTCCTACTTCTGACTTCTACTTATTACATTTTAGCACAAGTATCTGTACTTTCTATTCCTTACATTTTTAAACAAAGGTTACTCGTTACTCTTGGCTTTGGTTTATGCTTATATTTATTTCACGTCATGTGCGTCATCCAATGCAGATCATTGGCGCCATCCGCATCTGGTGAAAACTAGTGTAATTGGATGAGTCATATAATGCAAACACTCATTGGTTAGCTGAAGGAAATCATCAGAAGCAAGCAGGTGTTCTTCAAACTGCAAACTTGAATTGTCTATGCCATGCTGCAAATGTTGGATTCAGAAAAAAATGTTGAAATGTCTGAAAGGTTGGACACAGGCGAGAGCGTATCTGGAGATGGAGACCAACAAGACCTCCCTCATCTTTGGCCCTATCTCAAAGAATTTTTCAAAATAGTCAAAAAATTGAGCTTTCAATTCATATAGTGGCATCTGGCTGTTTTTTTTTAAAGGCTACTTTATACTTTTATACTTTTTTGAGCACATAGTTTTTCACTTTTACTAGATTAAAGTGGTCAAGTTGATTCTTCAACTTTACAAGAGTGTTTTTAAACTGCAGTATCTATGCTTAAGTAACAAATGTGTGTACTTTTGACACTACTAGTCTTAAGTTGAATTGGTCTGATGTCAGTGGTCCTACGCATTATGCATGCTCCTATTTTTTTTATGCTTGACGTGAGCATCACGGCGCGTTTTGTTTAAAGAGAAAACAGCATTTTTTGCTAAATTTATACAAATCTTATAAGCGCTACACACACAAGATGCTTTTTATCAATGTTTGAAGCATGAGTAGCTCGGAATAAAGTAAAATTGGGACAACTTAACACTTTGAAAAGGGTTACATTTGAAGTTACCAGTGACTAAGACAGAAGGTAAATACTTGCCTATTGTATGTGTGTTTATCCGGTGTTTTCATTTGAAGAAATAGAGTTGTGCAGAGGTAAACAGAGGTAAAACCCACTATTATTTTTTTTTTAATCTGATATGCTGATATTCTCTGTATTGTAAAACAAACCAAAATAACATATTCAAGGGACTGCAAATAGATTTATTGTATTTACATGGGCCCAGGAACTATAAGAGGAACTGACAGTTAGCATTTATAATATTAACTTCAATATACAAGTTGTGAGAAAAGAAGCAACTGCTGCAACAACACTGTATTGTAAACTATAAACATGTTATTCATATAAAATTATTTGTAGGGAAAAGTAGGTTGGGCCAAAATTTTGGTAGGGACATGTCCCTATGGTCCCTATGCAAACCTACGCCCATGACCATGCTTCACTTATACCAAGCTTGAAAGCCTTGCCATTTCCCTGTCGCTGAACCCAAATACCTTGATCAGTCCACAAGCTGGGTGGGCATCTTAAATAAAAATTCAAGGAAATTAATTAAAAACATAATAACAATGGAACCACTGAGGGCAGACAGGTTTAGACTGGAAGACCTAGTTTGATATCCCCATGGACTGGCTAAGGAAGAAGCTTCAAAAATGGCAGCTTCAAGCATGTCTAAATATCCAGAGGTGTCAAGTAACAAAGTACAAATACTTTGCTTTCTTTCTTAAGTAGAAATTTTGACTATCTATACTTTACTGTAGCTATTATCTTCAGACATTTTTTTACTTCTACTCCTTACATCTTTTTGCAATTTTCTCTTTCTACTCCTTACATTTTAAGAATAGACTTGTTAACTTGGTTTAATTTAAGCTCATTTCCGTTATGGCCTGATGGTATTCATAAGATAAAAACCATCAAAGTAATTAGTTTCACTTGACAATTAATTTCTTTGTGGTTGGACTCAGTGCTGCACCAACTTGTCTGCCACATACTTATTTAGATTAGAAACTGTTGCTATTAATTATAGAACTAAAATAAATTAAGCAGGAAGTTGTCATCCAGAATTGTAATAAAATGTTCCTTTAATAGGGTAGTGAAGTAAAGCATCTTTCCTCAGCATTTTTTCCTGCATTACTTTCATTTTTATACTGTAATTTTAAAAATGATACTTTTACACTTTTACTTGAGTGAAAAGCTTAAGTTCATACTCTAACTTTTAGAAAAGTGCTTTTAAACAGTAGGATTTATAGTTCTAGTGGAGTAATAAACATTAATACTTTTAACACCAAATATATGGGCCAAATGTTACATGATCAAAAGAGAACATTTTGACTACAAGAATTTTTTTTTTATGATGTTTCAAATTACAGAACACTGTTCCAACTGTTAGGCATAGAGGTGGCAGCATCATGCTCTGAGTCGATCATGCTGTTAGTGTTACTGGAACATGGCCCAATGTGGTCGATAAAAATTGAGAAGAAGAAACACACAATCTTTATCTCTCCTCAAATCAGCAAGATAAACTGTTTAAAATTAGACACAGCTGAATGTTACAGCATGACTAACACATCCAAACTGCTTTTCGAAGCATGTTGATGATAAGGTTATGGAGTTGATGTAATCAAAAACTAAAATTTATTTGCAATGGTAAGTTTGCCAGATATCCAGCCAGAAACTTATAACGGCTATATTTGTTTCTTTCTAGTTCCACAAGTTTATGGCTCTGAAAATTGATAGGATACATATTTAGATTCAGTAATTAATTTTTATGTATCTATTTGAGCCTGTTACGACATTGTTTTGATTAAAATCTCTTTTATTTTATTTGAAATAATGCATTGATCGCTTGATTTTAAGAAAGATTAAGTATGTTTGATCAACTAAAAATCAACTAACATGAAATTTGCGCAACTGCAAGACGTCTCTGCTTAATAAAAAGAGGTTTACCTCCTGATAGTTTGTTATTTAATATCATCAGAACACATGGATTTTTATTTACTGAATGAGACTTTAAATAAAGTCATATATAGACATCATTTAAACATAGAAAATAATTGTAGAATATTTTATCAAAGCTCATACAGTGGGTGTAAATCAACAGCTTTATTACAATAAAACCTTATACTGATTTGTTTGGGTAAACAAGATATGCCAATATCAATAACTAATACAATTTACATCCACTTCATTCACAAAAAAACAACATGTGTGATTTGACTATTCTATTTCTAAGGTCTTCCATGCATCAGGTATTTCAACCAAAAAGAGCTTTCCTCTAGTTATTAAAAAAGAAAATAATAATAGATCACCTGGTCCCTCTTGGTCCTCGTCAACTTCAAAATAAAGGCATCTCTTGAATATGATGATGTGGATTAATTTTTTTCTTTTTTGTTGATACAACTTAGCAACTGGCTAGCTGGAATGGTAAGTCCCCCATCCTGCAAACAGGAAGTCTGGGTTCGTATCCTAGGTGGGGGCTGCCATTGTGGGTCTTTAGGCAAGACTTATGCCCCAGACTAATGGTTAGGGCATTGTTCTTGAGGTTCAAGCCCCAGTCCCACTGATTGCCACTCTGGCCCACTGAGCAAGACCCTTGATCCCCACAATGTGCCCACAGGCAGCCCACTGCTCCCCAAGGGGTTGGGTTAAATGCAGAGAGTTAATTTAGTTGCTCTGTACTTGCGACAGTGTAATCACATGCCAGTGTAATGGAAATAGAAAATAAAAAAAAAACTGGATAATCAAGCATTTAATTGATGTAGCTCCTAAAATGATCTTAATTTTGGTAGATCTTCTTTTCCTTAAATGTAAAGTACAGTGGGAATCACACAATAACAATTGAAGCATTCCGATCATAAATATCAGAATGCTTATAATAGATGTCCAGTGATACGTAAGCTTTATATTTGCTGAATTTGTTGCAAATATTAAAGGCCCTTTTTATCTTTTAGAAAAGAAGTTCATAAACAAATGATTAATAAATTACAATTCTGTATGATTTACAGATCTAAACTGCAGGTTCCTGATCTGATCCTGATTCCCAGATTTCCTCTGTGGGTTATGAGTTGATGGGTTCAGTATGGGGGCTGCACTGTCATAAACAGCTGAAACAAACACCTCTTTAAGTAGGTACTACATTATGTCACACCATGACAATCATCTTCAACATGTTTTACATGTATTTTACACTCAGAAATATTTTATGTACCAGACCAACAAAGGACAGTTTACAGTGAAAGAAAAGGGATGCATGATTTTCAATAAAAAGGTAAATTAATTGCAAAAACATTTAGAAAAGTTTGGCTATTTCTACTCTGTGTAAACCATGCATCGTACACCGTCTGAAAACCATTGTTTCCTTCAATTGCAGCTCAAGGTTTATGGGTGTATGTGCCAACCTTTTAGATGTAGATAGATTATTCTTCTTTGTTGAATGCCTCAGGTTAATCAGACTGGGTTAGAAACTCAAAAATCTGCATTTTCTTATATTTCTTGTCACATATTCTTTTTTCTACTCTTTATGGACTTTACATACAGCTTCAGCTGCATGCTTACAGTAAGGTTGATCCCTGGCCCTCCACCCTGGCTTTCTTTCAAGATTGCCTTTTATTTAGCTCCATCCAACTTCCCTGGTCTTGGCTTCTTTCTCTTCTCCCTGTCTGGCCTGTTAGCTCAGTTGGACAGTCTCATTTTGAATGGTAATTTAAAAAATGCTCTATAAGATCTCCCTTTATCATCTACTTCTTTTTCTAGGTTCTCTTCAGCCTGTCTGCTGTTTATTGT